ACTGAAGGTCACGGAGAATATGTCTCAACTTCCTGTCCATTGCATGACAATTTTTCCTTTTATTTAGTCCAAAGATTTTGCAAACAAGTATGAGACTGTTCAATTCGAGCACATAGTTAATATTTTTCATTCACAAGAGCAAAGTCACAGTGCAAACCTAATTAGCCTTTCCACATTCAAGTTTCAAAACCCCAGTGTGATAGCATGGTCAGTTTTTATTCACTGTGTTTTTCTCACACTGTTTGTGATTTTCATGTGCTACTTCAGCTACTAGAGTGTTTTCAGTTTGATTGAGGTCATTCTTTTTGCATCATATTTTGATTTAAGTCAGGGTCAAAACACAAGCATTAAAGTAAATGGGGGCACGCTATAGATTAGTTCTGACAGCAGGATACAACAAACAAACTGTATACGTGAAGATATTCTTTATAACATTATTTTAAACTTGTAATCTTTCTCCCATATCACCTTCCAGCACTAGTCTGCTTTTCATACTCATGTGAAGTATCCTGGATTGCTATTTTAGATATTAGTAAAAACCAAAAAGGAAGTTACTTGACTGAGATTAGAAAGAATGACAAAAATGGAACCAGAACTCCAGCATCCCAGTACACTGTTCTAATGACATCTCCCTTCAACTCTGTGATTATTTTACCCATTACTTACACTCCATAACTACCTTAGTTTCTAGGATGCTAGCAGAGAATACATCAAGCTTTACGGAAAAAAAAATCCTATTTTCACTGACCTATCTGGTATCATAACTTTGATGTTTAAATAGAAATTTTTGCCAGATCCAGCACTAAGACATAACTTCAAATATTACAGCCAGGGATTGAACCTAGCCTAAATATTAACCTTACTCTATTTCCACGTATCTTGTGAGCAGAGGGGTAGGTAAGAGAGCTATCAAAATAGTCTCAGCAGGCTTTCAGTCAGCTGGCCAAATAAAAAGGGATTTAAAAAAAAATTGGTTGTAAAAAAAGCATCCTCATGTTAGACATTTGTCTTCAAAACATTTTACTGACCGCGGGGTTATGGGGTTACGGCATTACTATGGCTTCCTTCAACCTAAAACCCAGAAGGCTGTTGTGTGTATGTTGTGTGTCCCGTCCCTCCCCAAACCAACACCAACCAAACCAAACAAACAAAACCCCAAACAAAAACCACACATGCTCAAATATAAACTGAAAGCTGTCCTCAATCCATGTGTCAATACAGAATGTGATAATTACACTAGGAAATGATAAGCCTGAAAATCATACATATTTGCAAAAGAAACTCCTAAGTTATCTTTGCCCCTCCTAAATAGCAAGATCCTCTTTGAGACTGAATGCAGAAATTTTTCCCTATCATGTTATTCTTTTGCTATGGTTCACAGATTTCCTAAGTGAAAAAAAACAAACAAAAAATTTTACAACCCTCTCAGTCTTACTCATTCCTCAGCAATACATGGGCACTGAGGATCCAGTTAGGCACAAAAAAAGAAAAGTCACACATCAGTGTTTAGTCTGAAAATGATGTTTAAGGTTTTTTGACTGGTCCATATGCAGTTTTCTCTGCTCTCATATCTATTCAGACACCAGATAGTTTTCAGAAGTTCTATTTCTATAGAACAGAGAGTGTACAGCAATGTCACTGTTCCTCAAGACTTTGATTTACAGCTTGAACACTCAAAGGACTTCAGTTTTCCTTTTTGCTGTTAGTCAAAACTGTTTATGTTACATTTTTCCCCTCAAACTTCTTAACTAAGACTGGGTACAAAAGCAGTCATGTCTACCTGGAATACTCCAGCATCAATCTTGTTTCTACTCATGACAGCTCCATGAAAAACTGCTTGCTGCTCCTTCTCCATAGAAGCACAAAGCCAGCATACTCTTCAGTCCATCAGCTCCTTCCTTCCTCCAGTTCCCCCTCATGTACATGCAAGGTAAGAGGAAAACAGTGTCCTCCACCCTAATTTTTCACTTTACTTTGTCATATACTGATCTGTTCTTCTCACACAACTGTCATTCATCTGACACCTGCTTCTTATCAGCTTTTTTTCTGCAGCAAATCCTCTGGAATACATACTGCATTGTCTTACTACAGCCACCTTCAACTCAGCAGTCCTCAGGAGCACTCAGCTCTAATCCCCCTCCACAGCTTCCTTCCTGCAGCTGTAGTGAAACATGTATGTCCACATCTGGGAGATGGAAAGGATATTCCTAGCTACTTCCCTGCTTCCTGATTATTATTTTCAAACTCTATCTTACTACGTTTAACTTGACACTAACTGGTAAAAGCTAAGGCACTGAAGGACAGAGCCTGAAACACCCTCCCCTCCTTTTTTCTCAACCGCTGTTTAATTTTGAGCTCCCATCTTGGTCTAAAGGCCCACTGTCCAAGCTGATCCTTCCTCTTCTGTGCTCAGTTACTGTCTCTTGCAGACTGGTACTTAGTTTGTAGCTTAAGAACAGTGGGACTGGATCTCAAGTCCCTTTTATCTTTGTCTTACTTTAAAACTGTTGTTTGGTTTTTGTTTTTTTGTTTTGTTTTTTTTTAATCCAGGGTTTAAACAGGCATTGCACTCAGCAAAAGGAAGACTGCAAGACAACACTTTCTAACATGCCATCCACAAACACAGCTTGTGAATGAACTCTAAGAAGTCAATAAAAGATGAATTAAAAAAAACAAAACAAAACACAAAAACCCAAAACACCAAAGCAAGACTTACTAGTGACCCTAAATGCAGCAGAACAGATGGGAAGAAAAATGAGTGTCAGAAATCTGAAAAGACTAAAAGAAAAACGTGTTTTATTTGAGAAACAAATTCACTTTTTGAAAATGACAGAACTATTGCTGGGATAAGTTTTAAGTAATAGACTGTATCAACAAAAGGAAATGGTATCAGTACAAACTATTCACTTCTCTTGAAGGGCGTCAATCATATCTGTTCAAACTCTGTGAATCTAAAACTGTTTTTGTTTATTAAGGAATGATAAAGAAGTCCATAGAGAAAAAAACCCTGTATCTTCTTCACAAATGAACCAAACTAGACCATGGCCCCAGCCATCACAACTTTTAGGGTATGAATCAATTCCATCATACCAGTATATGACATCACTGACAAAGCTTATAAACTCATATAACCTATTACCTGTGAAGGAATGCAATCACAAACAGAGTTAAAAATAGGAATTCCTCAAGCATTTGAACTCTTTTAGTACCTCAAGACACTACAGGCCACACTGACAAACTCACACATTCTCATCACTCTAAAGACACGGTATCATATTCATGCTGTTATCTAAACGTTACATTCTCGAAGACAAAGTCAAGTTAATAACAGTGGATGTGCAACAATCAAAATTGGGGAGTTTTAAACACTTTCTAAGCAACATCATCCTATTTGTAAAAACAAGCTACTAGGAAATTACTGAAATTGAGTCCTTCACTAGAAATGCGTATCTACATTTATTCTTATACATGCATTATTAGAATGCATTTCTTCCCTCAAGTCTGCTCTAGACAAATAACTAATCTCCTCACTGAACTCCTATTCCATACTCTTCTTATTCTTTTTGTTTCTTCCTCTCAGTCCTCAAACTCCTCCCTCCTCCAGTGCAGCAACTTGCCTGAAAAGCAAATTCTCTTGTCCAAAGTAAATATGTTTCACCTACTTCTGCAATACATTATATTTACCTGCTGCTTTTTAATGCTACCAAACAGCAATGCTTTTAAGCAGACCACGAGTCCACACCTTGGAAATGCTTGAAAGCCGTTCTCAGCAATGCTACAGAATATGCTTAGGTGTTTCGCTCGGGGCTTTTTTTCCTTGCTAAACCACAATGAAAAGACAGCGTGCCAAAATCACAGACACTGCGAGTTAGGGAAAGTCAGACGGGGACTTTATAAAGTTTGGAGAAAACGCCATCGATCCCGCGAAGGCGCCGGACACCTCTCAAAAGTTCAGGGAAGCGAAGGGGGGTCCCGCTGTCATTTGGTGAGGGATCAAAATCCAACCCATGCAAAAGCGCACATTTCTGCGCTTTCTCATGCAGCTTCGCCCGTCTGTTTGGCTTGGCTCGGTCTCCCGCTGGAAGCCTGCCGCAGGGAAACCAGCTCAGTGCGAGAAAACCTCCTATTTTTTCTTTTTTTAAACTTCTTTCTTTCTCTTTTCCCTTGTTTAAAGGGCAGCTCCAGCTCCATCCCCACCGCTGTCAGGGGAGGAGAAACCCCTGCCAAACGTCAGCGACACACACACACACAGACGGACACACAGAGACACAGACACACACACCCGCACCCTGGCAGCCGGGCGGGGGACGCAGCGATGCAACTCCCCGCACACCCTGGGCAGCGAGAGCCGGCAGGATGCGGGACAAGGGGCGGCGACCCCGGGGCGCCTTCCCGGCCGCCTCCCCCCACCCCGCCGCCGTCGCCCGGAGCGGGCGCGGGTCACGGCCGCCAACGGCCCCACCGCCACCGGAGGGAGGGGAGGAGAAGCGGGGGGAAGGGGGACAAGAAAGGGAAGGGAAATCTAGGTCTCACCTTCCTTCTCGGCCCGCGCCGTGTGGAGGAGCAGCGCCAGCGCGAAGCGCAGCGCCGCGCCCTGCCAGGCGGCCGTCCAGCCGCCGGTGCGGGGGAAGGGGCAGCCGCCGGGGGAGCAGTGGAGGCAGCGCAGGGAGCAGCGGGGGCAGCCGGGCGCCGCCGTCATCGCGCTGCCGCCGGCGCTGCGGGTGCGCCGGGTGTCCGTGTCCGCGTCTGCTCCGGCCGGGCCGCGGCGCGCGCGCGGAGGAGCTCGGGGAGGGGCGGAGCGGGGCCGGGCGGGGGCGGGGCCAGGCGAGCACCCCCGCGAGCGCGCGCGCTGCGGCTCCTGACGCGCGTGTCCCGGGCGGGGGAGGGAGAGGCGGCCGCCCCGCCCCCCGGGGAGGCCCCGCCCCCAGCCAGGCGAGGGCGCAGAACAGGTGCCATTTTAAGTGCGGGCAAGGTGGCCTCACTTTCCTCCCGGTCTAGGCAGAGCGCTGGCGACCGGGTTGTTTTGGCTTAATTTTTTTTATTTTTTTTATTTTATTTTTTGTTTCTTATACGCGACATTAGGTCTTCTGTAAACGCCGTCTGTTCGCGGCGGGGTCACCCCACCTCCTTAGCGCTCTCTCCCTGTCGCCGGGAGGGCTGTGGTGACGCTGTTGTTGTTTCCCTGCGGAGGCTGTTGGCGTTTCTCCTGCCCGCGTCCAAGATGGTGGCGGGCGGGCGCCGAGCCGTTACCTCTGTGCGCGGCGGCCTCGCTGGGGGCGGGGGCGCTTCTCTCCGGTGTTTCTGCCCATTTCCCGGGTCCTGTCTTCCCTGCTGGAAGCCTAGGGTGTTGTGGAGCGGGGGTGTCGGCAGCCCTCCCCGTGAGGAGATCGGCTCCCTTCCCCCGCTGCTGGGCCGGGCCTGTCGGTGCAGCACCCTCGGCAGCAATAGAACTGGAGGAGAGGGAGGTTTTGCCCGCCTGAGGCGCGGTGTGAGGCCTGTGCTGGAGCCAGGGCGTGATAGCGCGCCTCTGCCGTTGCTGAGGGAAGACGTGTACCCCCTATGCCTTTGAGGGACACGAGTGGCCATAAGGCCTTTGTGAATGCATGGAGCAAATTTGCGAAGGGGGAGAAGGCAAGTTGTTAAACGTGTGAGATTGGTGTCTGTCAAGAGGATGTTGCGCTGGGAAATGGGTCCATGGAATCAGTCCTGAGAGGACCTGTGATACCAGGTGTGCCATGGCTCCCAGTGAGAGATACGAATTGGGTATTGCCTGTCCAAGATCAGGACTTACAGTGCCAAAGGCATCTTGGATGAAGCGTTAAAAGGAAAAGTCTGTAGCACAAATAGTTTAGTGAAGAAAAGCCTTAGATTTTTAGAATAAAAAACCAGTATGCACCCATGTGCTATTCCTTAGCTCATTTCCCTACCTGATTAACATGTCACATTTGGTTTGAAGTGGTTGAACATGTCATTGAGTTTCAGCTGTCACAATAGCATAAAAGACTTGGGTAGTGTAATCAACCCAGAGTCTCTAAAGGCCTGACTAACAATCTAACTAAAATAGTATTGCTATGGCTTTTGCACAAACTTAACACACACTGTTCTTTTTTCTTAGAACTCCCCAAAGACACCTTGAAAGTCTGGATACAGCTGTTTTGTTGAACTATGGCCACAGCATCAAGGAGGTTTATTTTTAAGAGTGAAATGGAAAGTTGGAAACACTGGGTCGAAACCTTTCCCAGGAGCAGTGGTCACTTCCTGAAGACATGGGAGGAGAAATCAAGTTAAGTACTTCTCTGTAATTACTAATCTTTCAAAGTTGCATAGTCTTTTAAATACTGCATAGAAAATGGGTATACACAAATCAGTGACTTATGAGCATGAATCTCTGTCCACAGTTATCAGAACCACCCAAACCACAGTAGATAAAAAGCCTGATCACTGCTGTGAGCAGAAGCCCACACGTTGACTTCTGTGGGGGATAGGTATGTACATCAAAGAGCACGATCAAACCCAAGAACTGAGAAAGACAAACAGCAATTAATGCTGCATCTTTATTACAGTGGACCCTGTATGATCTTGATTTTACATCTGAACTAGGCTTCTGCTGTACATGCATTACTCTTCTGGAAAAAGAAGTCAGCTCCTTCCTATTTCTCGTCTTTCAAATCCAGTGTTGCACAACCAAGCATCCAGACATTGTAATTCACGCTGTAGAGCATTCTACCCACTGAAATGAATGGGAACTCTAATGAAACTAAGATGTAAGGATGGCAACATCTACCTTAGAGTAAAAATGGAAATGCCAACTATGCTATTAAAAAAGGCCATAATATACATGAGAGAAGAACCATGAGTCCTACCATTATGGTATCTATTAATCTTAAACTTTACAGCATTAAAATATGGGAAGTTTTTATTTGTTTGAAACACAGACCGTCTTTTGAAAAAGATATGAGTAGAAAACAAACAGGTTGCAGTATATATTCTCCTTTTCATCTTTGTCCAGAACTCCCACTGTTTTCTGTGCAGGAAAAAACAATACAATATGGTCCAATGTCTGTAAATGATAAAGCAAAAAGCATTCCATTAATTTATTTCTGATTTAGTCTGGGTTATATTGTTTTATACATGTTTGAGACTCTTCAAGTTGCTTGGTTTATGCATGCAGCGCATATAAATATTAACATTTGGATATTAGAGTATTGCTTGAGCCTATTGAACCATTTTTAAAATATAATTTCTATACTGAAAAAAAGCTTCTTACAATTAACTATGACAAGGTGTAGAATATAGTTCTTATAGAAATCTAGTTGTGTTGATAAACAGAAATTGCATAAATACTGAGACACTAAAGTTCAACAGCCAACTTTTTAGATGAAGAAATGCCCAGTTCCACTGGAGAACACATCGGAAAGACTTTCAAATAGGGAGCTGTACTCTGATTCCTGCAGCCATTGTCAGCTTTGTCAGCATGAACAGAGTAAATTTAACACCAGAAGAGCTATGGTCAGTCCACCTTCAGCCTTGCCTACCTTCAGTGAAAAGGTGTGTACCTGATGACTGCTACATTTACTGAGGTGTAGTAGTTTAAAACATTCCTCCTAAGCACACCAAAGTGCCAGCTTTCAATTATCATGCAAGTTACCTTTGTGGATAGTTTATACTCTTTTTTTTTTTTTTCTGGGCAAGGAACCAGAACTACTAAAATATGGATTTGTGGTTTCTGCCACCTTTGATATGGAGGCAGAAATTCCTGGGAGAGTGTCAGTGTGGTTAGTTAGGACCTGTAACCTCTTCAACTGCTGGTACTTAGTAGAGGTGATCTGCCTGACCAACTCCAAAAGCAATAATCCATCATTTGAACCACCTTGTCTCTCTCCTGCACGGAGTTACCTGTTCTGTGGGACACCGATCAAATCCAGGTGATGTTGCACTTGAATAAATGAGAAATTTTTGTGAGGTCCATTTTTCCTGTTCTGCTGGGATGGCATGAACTCACAGTGGGAAATAGAGTCTCTTAAATCAACATTGAGAGTGAGGTCATGAATGTACCTCAGGTTACTTTCTCTTTGCTTTTACCAAATGTTGTACATGATTGCTTGGTAGAAAATAAACTAAGCAAAGAAAGAAATGGGGAGAGATAAGGCTGTTAGGTAATACAATCAACTTTCCTGCTAGTCCAGACTTACTTAGCTTGTTTATTGGTATGTTTCAAATTATTTTTTAAATAACTAAAAGAATTCCTCTGAAAAATTTGCACAAGCTCTGCTCTTCACTGCCAATAAGATTTTCTGACAGTCGGTCTTTCCCCACCCTCTTTTCATTTACTCCTACTTGTTCCCATATGTAGAAGCCCAAGTATTTCCTCTCCATCCTTAAGGTTTGCATTACTTAAGTATTTGCTGGCTGGAGACATGTTTCCATGTACCTCTGCTTTAACAAAACTGGATGTATTAAGCTCTTTTAACCCTTCTCTATAAAACCACTCTTCCAGATAATTCTTTCTGCTGCTCCTTAAATTGCTTCATTTGCCTCAATGTTATGATGGATGACACAGAAACAATGCACATACCAGCACTGAGTCTGCTAGGGAAAAGTTGTCCTTTTGGAAAAGTTTCAATAAGCTTGAGCTGCCAAAATGACCTTGCATCACATCAGTGCTCTGCATCACTTGGCTGTGTTTTTGAGCACCCTAAAACAGGGTTTACTACCCAGTGGATCTGTGGTGTGTCTTTTACTTGGTGATACTGGACCTGTGTGCTGAAGGCAACCCTGCATTGAGCACTAGTGGCTCAGGACTCCCCTGCTGTTTCATTTTCTGTGCCAGCTTCAAGTCATTGGAGGGCTTTGTTTCCAACATTTGTAGCATTGCAAAACTTTTGCATGAAGAAAACAGGGGAGATATGATATATTGGGATTTTAATATTTCAGGATTTTCTACAAGATTTATTTTCAGCAAACCCTTGTTATGTTTTACTCAATGAATATTTTCAAGATAAACAGGGGTAAATTTGGGGGGTTTTATTATTTGTTTTACTTTGATTTTCTGTTTGCTTAACCACTCATCATCATATGCTTTTTGTTAACCCAGTAGGAAAAGATGTCCTCAATTTCTGTAAGAATTTTACATTTTAGAATTAAATGTAACAATCCAGAAGTTACTTTCTCAGAGAAAGGGATGATGACTTTTTGATTGGGCTTGTAATTTAGGATACACACTTGCCCAGTGAGAGCCTGCTTTCAGCTTTGCCATGATAAAAATCATGGCAGTCTGTGTGATTTTGGTTTACCAGTTCCCTCTAATAAAAGGAAGGATTTTGCTGGCAATAGTGCTATCTGTAGTATCACTACTGTGAGCTGCAGTGTGAACTTTTGCTGTGGATACATGCCTGGAAAGATGCATGAAATAAGTACTGGCCTCATTCATTTGACCACCACTTTGGGTTTCCCTACTGCTACATCAGTGTCATGCAATTGCCATATAATTGTCCCTCTCTCCTACTGTGATCCTGGCACCAGGCCGAGTAGACTGATCTGATCTTGGGTGACCTAATTAGTTGTGATCAGCATACATGTGAAACCATGGAGGAGACTGGCTAGAAATGGGTGTTGTGTGGCTGTAGTATAGTGATATGAGGTGTTACTTGTGTGGTGTGACAGACCAGTGTTACTTGACCTAATGCATTTGCAGTATCCTCGTGCCCTGTCCTATGCAGTGCTGTGCGCTGGGTCATAGAGAACTTGGGGGATAGGGCACAAAGGTCTCAATCCCACCACAACCACCAAGTTAGCTTTGTGCATAAGAGTACTGTCAGTGAAGGGAACTGCTCCTGTTCGCCCATATGTTGTTTAGATTCCTTGCTAGTATGCTCCAGACTTTCCAGATTCATTCCCCGAGGGTGCAGCAATTCAACCCTATTTTGCTGTCAGCACAGTATTACTGCCTCCTCCAATGTTTGGCAACCTGGCAGTTTCTGGTGTAGTGGATAGATATTTTGGTGTGACAGCAAGGTGTGTGATATTTATTCCACCCATACTCCACATTGATTCAGCAAAGCTGGAACTTCCTAATACGGCACTTCTTTCAACCATAGTCTGGTAGAAATCCAAGACTGCTGATGTGGTGTAGTGTGGTATGGTATACCCACAGAATCATGCTGGATATCTGTGTATCTGCTCATTTTGTGGTAAATCCCATGTGTTAAATTTTCTGCTTTTAGAGGAGGCATCCCATGCTGAAGCATCCATGCCTGCAGAATGAATCCACTGATTGATTAGAAAGACAGAGAAAGGAGGAAGAAATAGAAAAGGAATGGGCCTGAACAGATAATAGATGAACCAATACCTTATTCTTCCCAAAGATACACAGAACTGTATCCTTATGTTCCTAAAGGTTTTCTGAGTGTTGAAACTTCATTGAAAACCTGTTCTTTCAGTTAAATGGGATTCTACTAAAAATGGTGATAAACTCAGCCAAGTGTATCTTTTCTGATGAGAACATTCAACCGCATTGCAATGATGTGCCAGTGCCAAAGTGTTTCTGTGTGTGGGTGAAAAGATGTTAATTAATACTCAGACTGGTGAGGTGCAACTGATTTTCATGGCAATTTTAGAATCATCAGTATGCTTGATCGTTTATCCAGTTGCCTCCATGCAGATTCAGCAGCTCAGCCACAGACACCTCCATCTGAAATTCTTGGCCAGAGTTTATTCAGTCCCAGATTACCTGCCAATGCATGTGGAACCTATGTCACAAGAAGGCATTTTTTATGAGGTGCTGTTAATTTCAATGCACAAGCTGAACAGAACAATAGAAGAAGCACGCAAAGGGGGCACACATCAGCCACTGTGGTTTCTGGTTCATGCCTGGGCCCCTGATCCTCAAAGGAGACCAATGTCAGAGACATCTGCACATGGAGATCAACTTGCAGGATGAGGCAGGGTGAAATTCTGGTGGTAGAATTTGATTAATTGCCTTACGATTTGAAAACAGTTCCATCTGTTTCTTCCTGCTTTCTGTGCATGTGGTGTGTCTTCTCTGTCTTTAAAATCTCTCTTCTGGAAGAGCTTGAGGAGTTTGATGATTAGCTTCTTCTCATTGTCCTTCAGACAACTCTAGATATTTTTCTCCATCTTAACTCAGTTATATGCGCTATGATATGAAGTATGAGTAAGGGGATGTCTGGATTTTCCTGTCCTTTCAGGTAGCCTATGTTAACATTAGTACTGTCGTTCTGTGTACAGCCTCTCGGATATGCACTTCTCTTTTGCTCTTTGGTTTTCTCTTTCATTTCTATTTCTGGGTTGGATTGTATAAATGATGGCTCTTCACTGTTGTAACTTCCCCTTTGCTGCTGTGGGTAAGCATCTCTTTCAGTTCTGCATGCAAAAGAGAAAAAAAAAGATGAGACCAAAGGCTCTTATGGTGCAGCTTTGTAGGTTTAGAAAGATCTTCCCTGATATTTTATTGCTGTGGACTGATTGACATCACTTTAGCATGCCTCCAAGTGCCTATTAGCTCATCTCTCACACTGAAAAGGCTCCAAAGAAGCACTACAGATATATTTATCAGTGAGGGTTAGCCCCAGTATAGACTGTACTAGTGTGATCATTCAAGGCTGTATTCCCTCAGCTTCCGTGTTTGTTCGTGATTGCTTCATTTTCTTTTAAAATGTGCTGTGCAGTACTTTTTTGTGCTATAAGACTCTGGGGGAAACAGTGAAGTCTGAGGAGACGAGGTACAGAGCTCGTAAGTGTTGTCTCCTCTCTTTCGCTCTTCAGAGGAGATACCAGATCTGTCAGGGCAGAAAAAAAAGAGAAGTGGCACCAGCTGAGCAGGACAGGAGTAACACAGCTCCTGCCAGATGCTTAAGTAACAGCATGGGGCTGAGCAGTTCTGCAAATGGGATATAGCCAGTACTTTAGGAATTTGCTGCAGTTCCTGGTGCCAGCTCATTCTAACTGGGCTAGCATGTTGTACTGTCCCGTAAAATTGTATCTAGTGTCTATCAAATCCCAGTCTGCATAAGCTGAAATATGGCTGAGTATGAGATATCGCTGTCTTTTATTATACACCAGAGTACAAAAAGATTCAAAAGATGAAGTGCTGCCTTGGATGAGGAGCTGTGGTAGGTTGGAGGGCCAAGGAAGCCGGAGTTGAGGCTCCTGAGTAACTAGTTGATTTTCTTGAAGAAATTTGTTTTTAATAAGAACCTGCTGCTCTCCTTCCAGGTGCTGCTTTCCCATCAGCAACACAAGAGCTGTCAGCATTGCCTGTCCAAACTCAGGTATAGGCGTCTGGGCACACATCAGGGTGGAGGTGGAATTTTGTTAACAGAGAGAACTAAGAATCCAGAGAAGACAGAGCACTTGGGAACTGATGCCCTATCTGGAATATTAAAAGACCTTCTACATACCTCAGGGATTATATCTAGATGGATGAGTGTGGAGAGTTGCTTGCCTGCTCTTATACTTTCAGCTACCAGGCTGCAGGCCAGCTCTGATATGAAAACTGAAACCACAGCACTGTGACACTGTGCTTGTATTTACCATAACTGTTCTCTCTGCAGGACTTATCAACACAGCTCTGAGCTTTTGGTAAGTGCAGTTACCTGATACACAGACCAGTCTGGATAACATCCATCTGGCTCAGACTGTAAGCAGCTGCATGCACCACCCTGCACGGGCACTTTTCGTGAGTTGCAGTAGTAAGCTCCCACACAGCTACTACAGCAGTTGTACACAGATACAGTGAGTTGCCAGTCACTGTGCAATGGAAGCAAACTGTTCCTGTGACAACAACACTCTTAGCATATAATTTCATGTTTCATAGTATATAATCCCTTTGGATTCTTCAAGTAAAATGTAAAAATGACAATATATTGAGACCAAATGAAGAAAAAATTAAAACCAGAGCAGGTCTAAACTGACATATTTAAAATTACTTTGAAATGAAATTAAGCTTTTCAATGACAAATGGGTTTCTTGTGGCTCCAAAACAAACAGTAAGGAATGAAATACAGACTTATATGTGCATAAATGATTTAGGCGGTGAATGGGGAGGAGATGGTCATAGAGGGCTGAGCTGAAGAAAGTACATTTGCAAGTTCCTGAAAAACCCATGTAGGAGAGAGTTCCACAGAAAAACTGAATACTATGACTCAGCTTGATCCAGATAAGGTTTTCATAGGGGAATAAAAGGCAAAAACCTTTGATCTTGGTTGCTGTGATAGAAAATTGAGTAATAAATAATGGTTCTGTTAATGTCTTAATCATAGCTTATACATAATTTTCTCTTGCCAACATTCCTTTGCTTGTCATTGTACTTTGACACAGCATGATTGCATGAGTGTCTCAAGTAAACTCAATAGCTCTTCCAGGAGGAGGCCTGACTCCTTGTAGCCCACCAAAGCTGGATGTGTCAGAAGAAAGGGACTGGATGAAAAGCAGCCAAGGGGACTTCCTGGCTGGGGATTTTGTAGCTAGCCATCAGCCTGTTTTCGTGGAAACAGTAGTAAGAGAAACATCCCAGGGAACCATGTGGGCAAATGACACCAGATGGATCTAGGGAGTTCAGCTTCTTCCTTAAGCAACATCTGCTGATATTGGAAGTATCCAGAAAGCCACACCACACTTTAAATTAAACAAAACAAAAAACGATCTGCAACAGGAAGAAGAACAACCCAAGATAAATTATCTGCAAAAACCTGCATTTTAACATAAAAGCTTCATGAAAATGTTGCATAGCAGCAGTCATGCCAGATAGAGGTGATTCAGTATCATAATTGAGTCTGAGCCAAACGAGATCTAGTCATGTCCAGAACTTTCAAGTATTAAACTCTTGATCCTGCTCAAAACATGGTTATTTGCTTTGCCTTCTGGTTTACCTGCACATCACTCCTAAAGTATGGGGAAATGAAATCACTTAAAAATTTTGGTAAGTGAGGCTTTCTTAGATTCTTGCGTTTTAGAGTCTTGTGAACTGGTTAAAGGCAGAAAACAGATACAAGATTGGTACATTGAACGGCAGGAAGAGGGAATACCAAGGCTTTGAATAGAAAACCTATAAATTTATAAGAAAATATATGAGAAAGTATATTTTTGAAACTATTATCCCTAATAAACAAACAAACAAAAAAATGTAGTGCTACAGTGACATTCTGTGAAATTCTCAATTTTGTGATTGAATTACTACATTTTGTGATTGATAAATAAGTTGGTGCCATAGTGACTACCTGTATAGAAAGTTTCTGGAGCCCAAGTGAAAACTGAGTTATTTATAGTTTAACATTTAATTTCTTTTTATGCTCCATATCTTTGAAACCAGTGTCATTTTTAGCTCGTCAAAGTACAGAGGCACCAGTTTTGTTTTTCCAAACCTATGTATTTAAGGAAGGGTGTTTAAACAGTGCTGGCAACCTTGTATTTCTAAATGTTAGTGTTCTGGTTTTCATCTAAATAAAGAAAGCAGGATTTGCAGTTGAAAAATAAGTTTGTAGGCTCAAAAAGTACAATCGGAAAAAATATGTGGAGAAACAAAAATGCCAATCAAAAATATCTGTATTAAAATTGGACCATAACACCTGCTGCAATGTTACTGTTACCAGTGCAGTTGCTGTAGAAAGCAGAGTACCAGGGCCAAGTACAGAAGCAAGAGGAATTAACTTTTAGCTACTCCAGCAAGGCAGAGCCCTGTGAATCACACTAGGAAGCATAGATCAAATCCTCTTATGTAAACATCATACGAGGCTGGCACTAATCCTCCGCACACCCGAGGAGGACTGCTGATGTGGCATTCTCCAAATGCACATTTGCTTTGCGTAATTGTGGGCAGTCGTTCTTGGGCACAGGAGGCCTAAGTGTGAGCCTTCATATTGTCTTCTCAGGGTGAGCAAAACTAGATGGGGAAAAGCAAACCCTGGACATGGCCATGGTCTGCTAGGGCCACCTCAGACACCTCTTGTCATCGCTGCCTTGCCCAGAGACAGGACATCCTCCCCCCAGCACACCAATCTCTCATGCCTGGGTCCAAGCCCATGAAGAGCTGGGTGGCCCATCTCAGTCCCAGGTCCTGCTGCATCTCTGGAGTCATGTCATTGGTCTCCTCCTGGGTTTCCCATCAGTTGTCTGCTTCAGTGCAGAATGCTGAGGACTCATCTCCTGTTTCTCACCCATGTTTAACTTGCTGAATCAGAACTCCATGAAATGATTCAGACCTGGTTTCTGGTGACTAATACTGGGCACTCCCTTCCTCTTAGGCAGTGGCAGCTCCTTAGTGCTCCCAAGCCCTGTTCAGCCAGGCAGCTACAGGATTGGAGACCAGATGTGTTTCTGTCCCACTGAACAAGTGGTGGCTGGTTTTTGTTTATACAGCAATGTGAATTTTTAGTCTGAACTTATTTTTTTTCTTTTCAGTCTATGCAGTTATGTGATCAAAAAGTATAATCCCTGCACACACAGATCCTATAGTTTATAGAACTGGTCTTGAAGAAAGTCTGGGTGGGTACTGTGAAATTCCTGTTGTTGCTTTTTTCATTCATCTGGGATCAGATGTGGAATAAAGTAAATATCTTAGGATGAAGACTTTATTACAGGCATAGTTTTATCTATGTAAAGCTTTCTTCTACCACATTATTTTTTCATTCACACAAAGAAGTCTAAAACTTAGAGGAGCACTTTGAGTAAGAGCTCTGGCCCAACTTCATTTTGCCTCTCCTCACCCATCAAACACAAAAAAGTGCAATATAATACAAACACAGCAATTTTCCACACAGAGAACCATACAGCATCACTGCCAGGTGCTCTCTGCAACTTTTCCCTATTTTGTTCAGCAAGAATTTGAAAGCATTAGCAGTTTGATCACAGTTGTAATTTTCATGGTTGCAGGAAGCCCAGCAGTCCTTGCAGGCTCCAGCATGAGACTGCCTGCTCAAGTCTGGGAGATACCCCACATTCTTCATTCTAAATTATCAGTGAGATAGAAATGTTTGTTCTGCTGTCCAGGTCTATCTATTGTGTGCAATTTGTCTCTTTAAAGTTTCCATGCAGAAGCCACTGACATCCCCAGAGAGTTAAACCTTCTTAGCTAATCTTCTAAAAAAGCTTCAGAGACCTTTTGGCCTAGGCTGGATCTTCCTCCTATGGGTTTTCTTGGGTATCTTCAGGTTTTGTCTCTTAAATTAGGTAATTTCTCATCCTCTGAAATATCTCTGGTGTATGCATGAATATGAAAAGTACTCTGCAGACCTTGCCGTGGTTTGTGCTCTGTCTTAATCTGTCAGTGTCAGTGTAACTGGATGATGCAGACTCCCGGTCAAAACCAATAACACATTCAGCTCTTGACTGCAGAAAAGTTTGCTGCTATTTGGAATTACATTTCTTACAATTATTGCAAAGCTTTGGCTCAGTTGTTCAGGAAGCCGCTGAGTAAGATTTTTTTAATAGTTCCAGTATGGGAAGTTAAAGATGATGGAGCTGTGGTCAGGCCATTTTCCACCACCCAATGTAATACCTCAGTTATCCACTGTGACACAAAAGGGCACATTGTGGTATGTCACCTGATAGTACACGCAGCTGCATTGCTCAAATCCTTGCAAATTTAAGGTAAATGGGTTGTATTAGAGCAATAGCTTCCATTCTTTGTCTTCTGTGAATATTTCCCTAATACCTGGGCAAAGCGGGATATTTCACACTTCTTTGCCATGACATGCTGTGAAATGTTTGGCTGTTGTCCTTAGAGTCTGGTAATGTCAATCTCTTCTTTTGTTCTTACTTAGAGCTCAACTTTTGATGCCACATGAGGCAGCATCCTGACAAAGAGGAAACCCGATGGCACAGCTGTAGTTTCAAATACTCCAACAGGTTTACGAAGGCAAACTATTGCACAGTGACCTAGTTTAGAACTGTCACAGGGAGCAATTAATCTTTGTCACTCCATACTCATTCTAGAAGCACTTGAAGCCCAAAGAACTCCCTGGAGCCACATTTCTTCCTGCCAGCTCTCTGTAGAGGGGCTCAGTTCTGCTCCAGAGCACATTTACTCACTTAAATAGCCCAGAACCCCTCCAGGGTCCCTACATGAAGGCAATTCCCAGTACAATAGCAATAGAAATACCGATCATACAACATAATCCACTGAGTTTTCACACACCCCGAAGCTGATGGGTGATGAATTTCTTTTGGCCTTTGCATTAGCCCATCCTTAGTAGCTCCTGGTGTTATTCATGCAGTACATTTCCTTCCCCTTCAGCCTCCTAAGTATTTTCCATGGATCATATTTTCACCAAATCACAACTCTTCAGCTGTTAAGTTCTGCAGAGAGCTCTTCACACGTGTCGCTCCAGTTGTTGGGTGCTGTTGAGCTCTGTAGCTCCTGCTTTCCTGGATGAGGCTTCCCTCTATTTGGGCAACTCCATCTCTACATCATCTGTGAATACCACCTGGCTCAGGTGTCCCTAAGAAACAGATTCTTTCACCTGACCCATGGGATGCCTATGAATGCATTGCAGTTGGGCCTTTTCCAACTATTTAGTCACTTCACTAGAAATGTTTCCTTGAAATGCTGCATCTGGTCTAAATGACTCACCCTGAGGCTGGGAATTCACAGCTGATACCTTTAAAAAAATCCTAAATTTCTGTCTCAGTGTTTATAGCTCTGTCAGAAGCCTGTTCATGGCATTATCAGTGATGTTATTTTCCACAGCTGACAAAGCATGAGTTACCTTTCTGCAAATTCTTTTCAAAGTAAATGTTAATACAAAAGTTTCTAATCTCCCACTGGGCACACAATCTGCCTGTATTACTCATTCCAAATTCAATACGCAAAGTTCAGCCGCATTAAAACTGTCTTCTGACCAGAAGCAAAGGGAAACCCCCAGAAAAAGCTTCCTCAATGCAAATAACCACTCCTGTGGAGGTTGCCCTTTTGCTGCTTTTTTGTTTGCTGTTTAGTCGGCATTTCCAAGGAGCCAAATTTCTGCTTTTTTCCTTCCTGCAAGAAACAGAAAAGATTTATAAGGCTCTGCTTTGCAAGATGTATGGCCTACATATTAAATATTGTGACAAAAGATTTTGGCCTTGACATCCAGAAGCACTGTTAAGATGCTGTCCTGCTTTACCTTTCCCTTCAGAGAGTATTAGCTTAGTGACTGGAAAGCCCTCCTACTCAAGGCCAACGAACTTCTTTTTAGAAGTGCTTTTTCTGTTTTGTGCCCACTGCCTTAAGTGCAAAGTACACAATGGCTACCAGGGAAAGGCCCAGCATGGAGAGCAGCATTGCCCTCCTTTACTGCTTCTGGCTCAGAGGCAGCAATTAGGGTATAAAGCTGGATAATGTGTTATTAATAAGATACAGCACCATCACTTGGAGGAAGTGCCGTCTGCCCTAATAAATTCAAACTACTTATTCCCTCAGCTGCCTAGGCACTGGGTGTTGCAACTTAGAGGCAACTGAGTTGCTAGGAAGTTAATGGTTGAGTTAAAGACCTGCTCAGGTTTTTGCAGAGGAAGGCCTCTGCAAAAGTCAAGTCAAGGCAATGATGGGACACTCAGAAGACTCTTCTGAACCTGAATCTGGCCCTTGAACTGGGAGCTATCCCTGCAGAGTCCTACTTTTAGGTGACCAGACTTGCTGCTAATATACTTTTCTTGGTAAATGAACGGCAACCAAGGCAATTTGCCAAACTGTCTTGTCCTCTTGCTTGGAGTGAAAGAATCACTCATACCTCTGCCAGTTTGTTTACTGTGTGGTCAAAGATTTTTAGCATGATCGAAGGCACTGATCCAGGTGGGTTACCAATACTTTTGCAATAAAACATTTGTTTAAGTTTTTGTCTTAAATAAAATAGGTGTTCTTATGAAGATTAACATTAGAATTGTATTTAATGGGTTTTTTTGTTCTCTTTTACTTCTTCGCAGAAAATAAAGGCCTAGAATAATTTCTTACTGTGGCAGTAAAATCTCACTTAACTTTATAAGCTCTTTAATGTAGAATGACTTTCATATAATACAACAGCTGACGTGTAAAGATAAACAGCATTATTTTATTTTTTCTGTGACTCATTTGACATCAGTCCACATTTATTCGTACTTTGTGGAGCATAATGATAGGTAGAAAATTTATTTTAGTTACCAAGCAAATGAATATTTTAGTTCATTTAATTTATAATGTATATCTGTCTTTATAGTAAAATGTAGACATTTGAGGCCAAAGTCTTGTCTGAGGCCCATGGCTTGTGATCTCAGATTTGTAGGCAGCAGATAGCTGTTTTATTCCTTTTTTGTCTATGGGAGAACTAGAGTTAGTAATGCTGGTAAAATAACAGCTGCTGAACTTTATTTCCATATGATCTAGTAATTATAGCACATACCATCACCTGATAACTTAGTTGTTATTTTTTACAGTCCTCACTCTGGTGGTTTCAGATATTTGAATTCTTTCTCCTTCTCCCAGTGTATCAGATGGCTCTAAACAGTTAGTGTGGTCCAAGAGACCCAATACAGAAAACTCTGCTTTTTTTCTTTTCTTCATGGGGAAATTGCTTAGTAAGCAGTGCCTTCGGGGCTCATGAATAGAAATACTGGCTGCATGTCCAAGACTCCTGTCTCTGTGCCTGTCTCCTTGCTGAAGGAAGGCCAATTTTCCTAATTTTTTCCCATCATTCTGAGTGTGAGCGTTATTGATCCCTTGTTGCCAAAGATATCCGAGATCTGTCCAGCCATCTGCTATACCCCTAAGACTGTGATGCTGCACCTCCCATCCCTGTGGTATGACTCCAGTGCTTTCCTTTTGCAGAGGAGGGAGATGGACCTTTGGCAGCCTCTGGTCCCATCACACATGGTAATCCTACTGCCTTCAACTTACCTAGCATACTGTAAACATTTTATTATCAGTAAAGACTCTGACAAAAGAGGAACCCAGGAAGTTATACAGGTTAAAAATTACTCAATTATAAAAGCGCTTATCTCCTAAAGTGATCAAGAGATCAGTCGTGGACTATTCCTCTTACTCTTTCTTCCAGCTACTAGACACTTCCGCAAATACTATAAAAAACCAATAAGCAGCTAAATGCTGTATGATGCTGAAGAATTGATATATGCCTGTTTCAGTTCTGCAACGTGTTCCATTCCTATGAATCCAGGCATGAAGAGCAAAACCACCTGTATTTTAAAAATGCTAAAAGAAATACAGCTATTGGAAGTGGAACAAAGGATGCCAGCTACAACAGGAAATCGACTTTTCTGGGTGTTCACAAAGTTGTGCTTTCTGCTCATCTTACTTTGTTGATTTTCTGTATCTCCATGGTCCCACCACTTTTTGTGCTTGACTGCCGAACAGCTTTTGGTCATGGGCTTCTTTTGACTAAATAGACAGTTTTCATGCTGCCCGAATTCTTTAATTGGAAAAGACTCAAGACAAATATGAGAGGCCACCAGATTCCTTCCTGTCATCTGTAAGTAATTTTCAAAGACTACAGAGAATGTTGTAGGCAAGTCAAGTTTTCAGTAATCTCAGAAGGAGAGAGGGAATATCCTAAAGAAATTACCAAGTAGTATATGTTGTCTGTCCTGGGAGGCCAACATGCCAATCTAACTGAAAATATGCTCTTCACTAGAAAACTGCTTGCAGCTTTAATCAGCTTTAGCTGATTTTTTTTCAGAGTAACATATTTACCAAGGTGAAGGGTAACCTTGAGTATAAGGTGACCTCTCACTCTCTGTTTTAGTAGGAAAAAAATCAAATATCATTGTGTGCTGAAAATTCCCTTAAATTATCATTGCAACACACAACAATCTACTTCTGACAAGCCATCCCTAGTGCCTTATGGAATTAGGAGAATTAATGTGGAACAGGAAGTATGCTGGTTGTAAGGGCTGGGCTTGTTCTCAGACAAGACAGTTGGTGGTTCCATGTGAAGTCAAGAAAAAATCAACACATAAAAGTTGTACCTCTTTAAATCTTGAAGGGTACTTACAGGAGAATTTCTGGAGAGAAGTGTACAGAAATGACAGTAAAGACTTCTTCAGTAAAGAGCATGTGGTTTTGTGCCCATGTTATATGGATAATGACATGAATGCTACCTGTAGGCAAAAATGTAATTTATCTACAACATAACCCATACATTGGTGGAAATAATTATATTAGTAATTAAAAGTATACCTTACACATGGATTCTAGGATCAACAACTGTGGGAAACCACAGCAGGTTCAGTATTGGGTTTGGTGACCAGATTGTGAAAGAAGGAGTCCTGAGCTGCAGATACTCCTTGTTAGCAGCAGTGCCTTCAGATGGCATTTCAGGATGTTGTTATAAGCAGTACTACCCCTAGAGATCCTTTTGAAACATTTTATAAAATCACAAAATAATTACATTTTTGTCCAACTTATTCAGGAAATAGGCACCTGGAGACAGTCATGACTTTTCTATATGCAGCCAGCCAGATCCCATGCAGAAGAGCTGTCTTCTGTTTCTGAGCACTGTGTTGCTCTCTGGGCAACTTGTGAATGCAACAGTGAGACTGATTTTGTGGTGTAACAGCTCCAGTGGAAAAAGCGCACATGAATTCCAGAGGTTGGATAAAAGTCTTAAACATGACACATTCATCCCAAACTCTATGTAGACTGGATATTTCAGCACTGGATTCTGTTATGAAAATTACTTCATTTCATTTAGTTGATTTATGATTTAGCATACAATTTCTTTGGGAATCAGATTAATGCTGATAAAAGTCCAAATGTCCAAGTTTTCAAGGAGAAGTTCTCTCTCTTCCTTTTTCCCCCACCTCTGGTTCCAAAATCTAGAAGAAAAGCCCCCAGATCATTAAAGGTTTGTAGAATCATGGAATTATTAAGGTTGGGAAAGACTTCTAAGATCATCAGGTCCAATCATATTTAGCTAGCAACAATACTACTGTATGTAATAACAGGTCTGAACAGAAAGAATACTCAGTTTTTAAAAATTTTGTAGTTCTTGTGACAGATCCCAACTTTCTGGAAAAGTCTAAAGACATCCTTCAGATATATGGTCCTGATTACACTCATCATCATGTGATTGCCTGGATTTAGCTGTAGCTTTCAGACTTTCAGCTTACAAGAAGATGTTTGGAGGCCATTCCCAAACATTTCTGTTCACTCATCCAAGCAGGACATAAGCTGTCCTCTAAAAATAGGGAAGCCAATATAAAATTATTTTGTTTGGACCTGTATCCCAACATTGCACATAGTTAAAGCACCCAGAGCCACATGAAAACACAGCTTCGAACCACAGGAGAAAAGTCATGGCTCAAGGATGTATTACACATACATGAGGACTACACGGATGACTTGACAGCTTACAGATGCTGGGGAGGAATACATTTCAGGAAGGCCAGGGCTGTAGATCATTGCCTGGCATCCCTTCAGCTTTGTAAGCTGTTCTCTCTGGGATCCGGTTTCAGAAAGGAATGCCGTCACGGGAGATTTTACCCGATGACTAAAACTGCTGACTTTCCAGCATGATGTTTAACCTCCCATTCCAGGCTCCACACTTGCTTTATTTACTAATCCAGCCTGTAGCTGTTACATGGAGGAAGAATGGGGATAAATACTATGCCTTGGGAGCATATGTGTGAGTGGAGAAAGTACCATTCATCATCGCAGCATTGTAGTTGTAGAGGCCCAAAGAACTTGATTTTAGTCACAGCGTGGATTGTGATTTGGGTTTTCACAGTAGTCTCTCCTATGAAACAGTGGGAAGATCCCTCATTTGTGGTCAGGGAGCTATTACAAGGAGAGAGCGTGAAATGGAATAGGAGTTCTCTCTCAGCTTTGATCCCAGAAGAAAAATTACCTATAGAATAGAGCATCCCAGGCTGCAATATATCTTCTGTTATGTTCTCTGTGCTGTGAGGGAGGATCTGGACAGGGTCCACTGCAAAGGCAACAGCTGCAAGGAGGTTTTATGACCACATGGTTTTACTAGACGTGGCTTTTTGGTATCAGGAGATTGATTTGTGACGACTTCTACGAAGTATATCTTTTGCTGTATTTCAACAAACCACTAGCCAAGGGTAAAACCTTTAACTGCTTGGAAAGATCAATAATACTTAAAGGATAACAGTTTCTTAATGTCACAGAAATACCAAGTTTCTTATTACCTGTTCTTTTGTAGCAGCAAAAATATATCTCAAAATACAAAAGTTCAAAATGGGAAATCATTGCTAACTTGTGCTGTGGACTTGGTTCAGTCGCTGTCAGTGTTCACATGTTCTTTATGAGTGACAAGGTTTTATTTTGAATCCCAGCTGAGTCATGGGATTTTATGAGTTTATTACCTCTTGTCCTTCCCCTCCTGTCAAAGAATGATGTTGGCAGCCATCGTGGAAGAATTTGAGACTGTAGGCTTCCTGAAGCCTAAAAAAGAGGAAGCAAACAAACCCACTTTTAATGTGTATATACACACAGAGGTATACGCCCTTATACCCATAGGTGCATGTATAGACAGTGTGTATGGGTGTCTGTCTGTGTGGAGGGAGGGTGGCAGAGAGAGAGAGAAACATTTCATGATCTGTGTGAAGGCAAGGATTTCAGGTTTTGTAAGGCAGTTCCTGGCAATGCGAACCCTCTAAAAAAAAACATTAATGAAAGTTTGGAGGTACATAGCCAGTTTGGAGAAGACTCAGCGTGTTGCCAGTCTAGGCCCTTTAGGAGTCGGAACACTTATGGCTGGATCTTGCAAGCATTTGATTCACTTGAGCTTCTTTGCACATGGATAGAGGTGATAGTAGACAGAGGGAGCTACCCATGAAGTAGCATAAAAGCTTCATCTCTTCCAGCAAGAGATTCCAGCACCCTGCCACTGTGCTTAGTTTTCTCACTTGTGGTGGTAAAGTTTGCATCATACTTTGTGAGGTCAGATGTTAAGGGCCCAAAAATTACATTCCTCCTCATGAGTAAGCTTTAGCATGATCTGGAATGACTCATCAGGTTAAAGGGTTGTAAGGCCAAGCCATGTATGAAAATACTCTTTTAAATATTGTCTGGGTTTTCTGAGAAGGAAATTTTGTATGAAAAGCATGAAAAAATGCATCCGGTAGCTATTAAATATTTAAATATTTTTCAAGATTTGTAATGCTATATGCTGTAGACTTTCTTAGTTGTTTCTTATTTTTTCTATATGTCAAAAAAAATTTTAAAACAAAAAAAAATATATAAATGCCAGCAAATATTCCTACTATCCAATATATTCAGACTTAATTAACTTGTCAGGCTTGGTTTTTACCAAGCCCTTTCTGTGGCTATGACAAATTATATCTCCAGATCTGATTATTCATTAAATGTCTACTGTGAATTTCAGGCTCCCTAATGCTTAAAATACAGTGCAGGTATAATGGGATTAAAAATTAAAGTATGTTTCTTAATTTTATTTAATTTATTACTTTCAATTGCAGAATTCAAATTCTAAGGATGCTGCAGAACACATCAATTAACTATACTGAGCTAATTAACAATTATAATAGTTTTTTTTTACTGCAGCACATATATTTTCAGACCTGAAAGAGATGACTGGATGGTTTATTACTGAGATTAGCTTAAAAGCTTTGTTTTTATTTCAGTGATCGGCACATTTTAATCCACTTTTGGGGTAGATAATGAATGATTGAATCTCATTGTATTTATTGGAAAGATTCAATGATGAAATTAAACATTATTTTAGAGTATTGTTTACCATGGTTTCTTGAGTCACATAATAAGGTCTTGGGATGAACATCTCACTGATGTGCTATAGTAAACTACAAAAACTGTGTTTAGGGAGCAGGATAGTTGAGGTTCTTAGTAGCTGATGCTCAGAAAATCCTGAGCCTGGCCCAGTGCACACCGATGCCTGCGGAGAAGTTCCTTGAGATTCCAACAGATTCTGGCTTAGATGGGTTAGAGCTGTGTTGCAGTTGTATATTATTTTCATACGTCTGTTTCTCTGGAGAAAGTTATTTTATGGTTTTTGTTATGAAGATGACATATCACATATTTATTTATTTATTTATAAATAATGAACTATTGCACCATATGGTTGACTTTATTTTCTCCATTCAAGGCTATAAGCGAACCATAAGCACAGACTTGGGTAAAATTTGCATGAGAAATTATTTGTAGCATGCAGCCAAGCACCACTTCATTATGCTCACAGGAAACCCCCTCCCTTCTCAACAAAACAGAAATTTAAAAATAGGACTCTGTATGCAGGACCTGATGTTACCACTGCTGCCTTCAGCTGCACTCCTATAATTTATGACAGTTGTGTAGTTCGCGCAGGTCTTCACAGGCTGAGAATACACAGAAAGAAATGCGATGCTTATGAAGGTGCCATTAGAGTAACGAGCAAGAAGGAGAATGCAGTGTGAAAAACAAGTTTTAAGGATAACACAAGCTTCCCAGTGTTGTCCTGGTAAATCTTTTAAGCTGGGAAGGAAAATAACACCTGGACAAGTTGCTAAAGATTGCTTCTTATTCACAAGTAACTTCAAAATCCAAAGGAAATACTTTTCCAAGAGATTTTTCTGCTTCAGCTACTGCTACGGGGCTGGGAAATGCATTAATTCAAGCAAGTGCTACAGCTTGTGTTAAAATCACAGATCGCAGAATATTCTGAGTTGGAAGGGACCCACAAGGATCATTGAGTCCAACTCTTAAGTGAATGGCCCATACAGGGATCAAACCTACAACCTTGGTGAAGACCTCACTAACTCTAAACTGAACTGAAAATCCACAACTCCTTGTGTCTTATTAAGCCAACACCTGTCAGGAAGATTAAGATTTGATAACAATAGGTTACATGTCTCGCTGCCCTTTTAAATGTGATATCTGTGATGATACTTTATTATCTCCTTTCCCTTCGTAACAACTTCCTCTGCATGAAAGAAGCCCCTGAGGTCATCTCATCTATTTGTAATGTGTTTTCAAGTCTCTTTTCTGCTGTGGTGCCTGTAAGAAAACAGCTGCTGTTTAACAGTTAGAGGGAGGCACTCATAAAACAGGAGCTACAATAAATGTATAAGAAACTGTGATACAGGGGTTTTTTTACATTCGTCAGTCCCCCCCTCTACAAAACGGTTATGGGGCTGTTCTCTTACAGTCTTATCTACGAAAGGCAACTCAAATGCAACACGGAGCACTAAGAACCCGTGGGAGGTTCTTATAAACATTAATTAAATATTTTAAACTAATCATATGAACACCCAGCCCCAGTTAACTGAAGCTGATTATGTAAGCAGACATTTTGCTGCTGGTGGACTTTCTTCACTGCTCGGCAAAAATAGCTGGAATAGCTGGAAAATAGTTTTTTTCTGATTTGTAAAACTAGTTTGTGCCACTGCCAGTTTTGGATAGTAACATGAATCCAGTTTTACAATCCGAGATGGAAAGCCTGGTTGAAGCCATAGTAGGCAACAAGCGATAAAATAATCCTTTAATGCTAGATGTTCCTCAGTGGTGGATTGAAGCAGCTGCATTTAAGGCACTATCTGGCAAATTATATCATTCAGTTTTTGAGGAAAGAAAACAAGTTCTGCAGTTAATGATGGTTTCAGTAGGGAGCAATTAGGATAAGACAGAAGAAAACCCCAACAACATTCTGTATTCTCTTTCTGGCCCTTCCCTGGAGACTCCATGTGTGCATCTACACAAGTCATTTGACTTTGGGCAGAAGGAGATAACACCTACCTCCTCATGGTGCCATGAGATTAGCCGCATATTTGTAAAGCACTCTGGCAAGATTAAGTGTTACTTGGGAGCCCTACGCTCCTGTTTGTGACACCACTCCAATACCCAGGCCTTAAAAAAAGGCAGACATTCCTCCTGCAAGCCGATGGCAGAGTATGCAAACAGCCTCCACCATAGTCATTCTTCTAATGAAGCCACCTTTGTCAGGCTATGCTGTGTTTTAATTACAGCTTAATTGGCTTAGCCTGTCATTGTTAATGTGCAGCTGTTAATATTTTGCTGTCCTTGATCCTGTGGTTATACTTATACTGAGCAGGTTTATGTTTTGAGAAGCAGTGCAGATCAGTGGGAATAAGAAAACAGAAGTAGAAGGGCAGGATTGTTTTACACTTAGCATCATTTCTTAGATGTTTTACTTGCCTGTCTCTGCTTCTTTGGGAAATGGGAAGTATCCTTCCTCTCTTTTTCTAAGCATCTATGCATTTTCCTGTGCTTGTGGGAAAAGCAACTAGGCAATGACCTAATTCAATGCAAATGAAAGGGATTTCGTCACAAAGGATGGTAATTGGTGCAGTACTGCAGGTATGTGCAGGCACTGGGTCTACTGAGAGAGGAAGACATCTGCCGTAACAGGGCTGTAATCACCTTGTACTTTCACTAATTGCTGAGAGCTGGAGCTCTTAAGTGCCATGCTATATTTTTATATAAAATCTATTAAATTGCTACATCCTGGCCATTTTCTCCACCTGTTCCTATCAGACCTCATTATCACTGTCCCTCAGCAACCAGTCTCAAAAATGAATGCAGTTCCTGTAGCCTTCCATTCATGAAACTGGTGTGGTAGAGGACACTGTAAAGAATAAAAAGGATACAACTGCTCAGTACAATAAAATGAAATGGGCTTAGACTTGGCTTCCCCTCTCAAAATTAAACCAGGAATCGTCTTTCAAACACAATGCCTTGCATCAAAGCAGACTCTTACCTATTTTATCACTGTTATTCTGTGTCACGGGGATGCTGACAGTCACTCATGCTTACATTTTCACATATTTTTCAGCATAGTGATCAACTGAGAAGATTTTCAGGAATAGGTAATATACATTGTGATTTTGTAATAGTTGGATTCTTCATTCTCAGATGTGAACATCTTCTCAAGCTTTCTTTTATCTCTTATTAATTTTATCAATCTCTTCCCCAAAAATCCTGATTATATAGTTGTGTGTTCCAAATATGAATTTCTCCAGAGTGATAGAAATCACAGGACAAAGTAAAGCAAATAATTGAAAGAGAAGACTCTGTTGGAGCACTGCAAAATAATTCTATTTTTCTTGCTACATGTGCAGATCCATCCAAATATGTCCTCTTCAGAGAGGGTGAAGCATGTTTCTGTCTTGCTGTGGGCTCATGATCTGTTCTCATTCAGCCCATCATTTCCCTCAGTTCAGTGTATTTAACCAAGGCTAAAGACTGGCTCATTCTGGCTTCTGGTTTCCAGGATGCTGATAATATTTTTCAAAACCGGATACTTTTTGGCACGATTTTTGTGCTGCTTGTTTATAGTTTGTGTCCAAAGGTTTTACAGCAGTGAGATTTGTTCTAGTTCTTTGAGACTGCTCTGGGAAGACCTGAAAGGGGAAGACTAATGGAGTCTCTGAGAGGACTCTACCAAGAAGTCAAAAGAGGGAGAGCACGACTTTCTGTAGCAGTTTACTAAAGAGCTCCTTGTTTGCCGTTGGAGGCAACAGCATTTTCTATGCTTACCATAGTGACACGATAACAATACTAGAAACACAAAGGTACTCAGTAGTTGTTGTGTACCTGTCATCATGTGCTTGTTTAAATACTTGTCAAAATAAGTGATTTCACAAAAAGCATATGAACTGTAAGGGCCAGCACCCTTTTGCTAGCTACCTACATCTTAGAGTGTATTTGTGCTTGCTTTATGGCTAAACTGAAAAACCTTCTTTGGTGTTGAGACCCTTTATTTTTCTGGCACAGATCACAAAGTGTGGACACAATTGAAATCACAGCTTTATAAATATTCATTGCAAGACAACTTGAAGACAGCAGAACTTAAGTGCATCTGAAGGCAATGAAGGGAGCTTCAGGAAATGGAGTCTGATGTGATTATTGCTTGCAAATGTCATGGGCACACTGGGGATCATTTGATGGCAGAGGTTTTCTTATTGAAGTGGATCTTTGGTATAGGATTCAGAGCTTTTAGGTGCAAAATGGTGGAAAGGCTTGCTACAGTGTTTTCTTAAGCAAAGTAGAATAAAAAGCAAAATACAGTAGCTCTCTGTAGAAAAATAAACATCCTGGGCTTCAGCAGAGTCTTTCAGATAGACTGTCTCCTTATTTCCCTATTGAATAGTGCTTTGGCTAGTATTTGAGAAAGAGTGAAGAAAGGTAATGATAAATTAATGATAAACTTCTAAGAATTAAGAAACAGGACATAAAGTTATTCATTTTATGGATGAGTAACAGCTGAATCACAACTGAGACTTGAATTGGCAGACTCTTTGGATCTCTAATCCAAGTGAAATTCCAAAATAAGAAGTAATTTCAAAACAAAAAAATAAACTTTGAGGTTACCCATGAAAGGAAATTTTTGGATTTTTTTTCCCCAGGACACCATTCTGAATGATGTATTTCTTTGTCCTTTATAAATTTTTCCTCAAGTTTTTTGAAAAGACAGTAATTTTGGCTCTTTACCATGCAGTGACATGGGAAGCTCAAGAGAAGGACACTGAAAAAGCATAATTTCCTCAGATTTTTGGACTGTTGAGAAGCCCAGCTCTTGGAAGTCCTGGAAAAACCTTCACATGACCATCTATTTTGGAACCTGGAGCTGGGTTACTGTGGGATAATTCATACAACCACACAGACTAATCACAAGGGCCTTGTTATTTAAATGCACCGATTACTTTTTTTCTGCAATAGCTCCTGCTCTTCTCCACATCCCACAATGCATTCCAGAGCTACTATGTTAATTGGAAGTATATTCCTGTATGTGAAGTGGACTTTAATTAGCACCTAAGGGGTACATTCTGGTATCCTGACTCATGTGGCATGCGGGTGTACCTCTGTTGCTCCATCACAGCCTGTGGGACTTGTCATGAAGAAAGGTACTTCCTGGCCCAGATGAAGGCTGGCTTGGAAGCCCTGAGCCACCCAGATGGGATAAGAGACTCCACTGAATCTCCAGCATGCAACGCCATGGCCCGGGGCCCTAAATAACAATAGTTACACTAACACTTCTAATTATTTTGCTCAACTAATAAGCAACATGAGCGGCTCCAGATTTTAAGTCTGTGAACAAAGTAGGAACACTGTAAAATCTTGGATTGCAGGCAGTCTTGTAACAAATTAATAACTTCGACTACTACATGAGTCATCTGTAAAATGGGCCCTGAGTTACGAAGACACACACCAACTGTGGGGGGTGTCACAGAAAATTAAAATTAATGTGACATATTACTGTTTCAATTACAATAAAAGTACTGCATCTGGAAGTGCTGAGAAAAGTGGGAGGGGCAAAAGTCCACTGATTAGCATAATTACATCCATGCATCTGCTTCCCAAAAGCAGGTTGCGAATTGGTTTCAGCTCAGCGTCAGCACCTCCTGCCAGCCATGCAGTGAGACAGCTGTGAACAGACATCCCAGCTCCTGCTCCGTGGGATGAAGCTGGCAGCCAGGGTGGAAAGAAACAAAAGGCACTGATTAAAACAAAAAGCCCAGTCTACAGGTTCTTCAATCATGACATAAAAAGTCTTTTTTGTTGTTGTTGTTGTCTTAATGCTATTAATCGCCTTGCAAAATGCACTTCCCTGATGATAATAAAACATTCCCTCCAAAATCAGTTCTCTGGCTCCTTCCTCATTCTAAACCCACATGCACTCAAAATCCTCACCTGCAGGACCATAGGTGCAGATGTCACTAAATACAGCTTCTTTGATGGTTACTACAGAACAATGCATGTTACTGTCCTTTTCATGGACATCCTATGACAATCCAGCAGGAGGAACCAGGGCCAAATTATAAATCACCTGAGCAGTGTCTCAATTATGCTATCTCTGTGAGGCATCTCCTGCCCCATGACAGCTGGAGATTAAAATGTCAGCAAGTACTTCATGAAAATTGTTATCTATTAATTATTTTGTAACTCTGTAGAATATCTATGAAACTATGCTGTAAAGAGTTATCCAGACTTGAGAATTATTATCTTAATTGTGCTTTGACTGGAATTACAATGCACTGAGGTTACTAATCTCTTCTGAATGAGCTCAATGGTAGTAAAATATTTTAAAATCCTTTAAGGTGAGGAGAGAGATGAAGTTATTTAAACACAAAGTCCTGCCTAAAAGTAATCTAGGCAATATATCCATCACAAATATAGTAAGGAAATATATGAAAACTAAGAGCTGAAAAGTAGGTTTTAATTGTTTAATGTATTTCTTTTCTTGTTTTATCAAAATGTTGTGCCAGATTTTATTAACGCCAAATCTATTTTATATTGTTAGAATACAATAAAATGTTTTAAAATATAGCATTATAGGTTTAATGTCTCCTGTTGAATCTAATGTAACTCATACAATGTGAAAAACTGTTTATCTGCCAATGAAGAGAAAGCCAATCCTTAAATATTCTACATTTTGAAAATTACACAGTAGGTATTTTTTGAAAATGAAGTAACTGTCCAGTGTGCATCTCTCTGGGTAAAGAACTGTCATCTCTGATATATTTCTTTTGGCCAAATAACCCTTAGAATGAATGAAGGTAGTAATTCACTTATTGTTCAAAACACGGGTCTCAGTATAAACACAGTGACTGGGTATAAATGTTGCTTTCAGGATCAATATTTATAAATCAGTGATTATTGTTGGCTGATGCTGCATTTATGAAATGGAGACGAATATTTTTTAACCCCTTTTAACGGCAAGCCTTGCAATCTCAGTAAAAGATTTAGGAGGCAGCTTTGAGACCTTTCCTTTTGACACATAACCCTCAGCAGCTTGGGTTTGGCAGAGCTGTGAGGCCTTCACCCACAATCTGTGTTCCACCTTCCCTGCTGCTTTATAGAGGGTTGGTGCAGATGTGGAGGGTGAAAGCACAGTGAACAGTGAGCTCTCTGCTGTTGGGGCACGGATTTGAAAGTATCCTCCTCTCTCACTGAGACACGTGAAGGTGTGTCTCTCTTGGCCCCTTGCACCAGTCAGAGCCCACTGGCAGGACCACACCTGCCCATCATTCACATAACTTGTAACATTGGAGAGCCTGCAAACATTTCCTACTTCGCAGAGGTACAAGCTGGCACGCTCAGCCTGGACAGGCAGGGCATATGTGGGTGTGGGGAGATGGCTGCTCTCCACTGACTTGCCAAGGAGGGCAGGTGACTAGCTCTGATTAATCACCCATTTCATAGATGTCTGAAGTCATGAGGCAAATCCTTTTTTGCGGGCCTAAGTGACCAGCAACGTGCCACCGGCAATTTTTACCACCAGTTATCTCACTTGGTAACACCACAACACTATCTTCTGTAAGAAAGAAACTAATACTGGCTAGCCTAAATAATTTTTCAAGCCAATACACGGTCCTTTGCTATATATCTAATGGTTGAAGAACAGATGAATCCAGATCAACTTTACCTAAAAATGGAAAAAGCTGGTTTCACAGTTGTCCACGGTAAAATATCCAACCTGGTCTATACTGGAGCAGCTTACTGATGTAGGTTTTCACTTGTACATTAAAATGTGGAATTTATTGTTACATACTATATACCTTGTAGAATGGTAGTGGAATATTTTGGGGAAACTCCCTTTACTCTAGATTCCTCTCCCCTGTCTCCTGTTGTGCTTGCTTTCATCTGTAGCTTCCTGCTGCTCACCCTCACACTACCTCCACCTGGAGCAGCCATTGCTTCAGGGTCTTGCTATTATTTTCCTCGTTTGGTACCTCTCTTACCCCACCCTTGCAATCTATAGTTTTGGCAGTAATACAACAATATTACAGTATTTCTTGTCTCGACTTGATTAGAAATCTTAACATACCCACTTTGATTTGCTGTTACAGTAAAGATCCTCTGTTATCTGCTATACAAGATGGGCAACTTCTAATAAAAAATATTGTTTTTAACAATTACTGATCTTTTTTTCTGGCATTCCCAACATTCCCTGATCTTATAGGCTTAGTCACTGTAACAAGGATTTCTAGTGAATGCATATTTCTCTATAGAAGGCAGAAAACATGATAGAAATGTATGTAACACCCTGGCACATGCTCAAGAAAATCAAATAGAATGGCAGAATTCCTTGTGCATGCATTGATGATGATTTGATTTGAGTATGAATGCTAGGGACACAGTACAGCTGGAAATCTGTGGGTGCAGTGTGGCTCTAGATATTTATAAATAAAGCAACCTGACTTTCATAAAAGCTGTATCATTATAAAACAATGTCCTTTGAGTTGATTCAGCCTTTAGATACTATCAAAAAATTGCCTCCAAACTGACTGGAATCCCAGGGACTCTGAGGTATCTTAATAAATTTGTCACACATGACCTCTCTCTACCCTTTCACAGAAAGATTTCAGTGTTTTTGAAGACAGGCACTTCATTTGCACTATAGTAGTTTGTGACCAAACCTCAATCTGCTGGTTTGCACAAACCACTGCACAACTTTATCACTGTTGCTCCCTAGTACTTATGATAAGCCAAACCATCCCTTACTGGAGGAAATTGTTCATTCTCTGTCTCGCCTTGAAAGAACAAACTTTTAACTCTGGCTTATCCTAGTGTATTCAGCTTGCTAAGCTATTTACTAGCTTTTAAATGTGCTGGCAAAATATTTGTTAGATTTTTGAGCTCTTCTGGTACCCAAACAATTGAAGCATCTTCACTGTAAACTTCTGTCACTATGTGTGTATCAACTGTGCTGATACACATTCAGTGTTTTTATGATGGTGCAAAATGAGTGTCTGAACCCAAAGCACATTTTAGTTTGGGTTTTACATGCTCTTATTTCAAATACTCCATTGAAAATTTCCCCTCCAATGCAAATCAATCTACTCATTCATTCATTCTTTCACACTGTCACTCCTCCTGTCTCACCATTTATGCCTCATTATCCTCTTTCATCTTCTATCTTGTACTTAGCATCCCTACTCCTAAGAACAGATGAATGGGCAGGACTGTCTTGGTCACTTTGGTCCCTTTTATATCCTTTTAAGCTTTATATATAACCTTTTAAGCTGCTTGTGTCCCACCAATTCTCCTGCTTTAAATCTGTTCCAGGTCCTCACTGTTCTCACATTTAAGAACTTTGTTCCCTTTTCTAAACTAGAATTATGAGTGGCTAGCTTAGTCTCCTTCATTTTCCTCTGGTACTAGCACTGGGAAAAAAACCAACCACCTTACTTTCTCACTTCTGCTCTATTTGCTTCCCAGACTCTTTACCTCTACTGGCATACCTCATTTCTTGATAAACTACTAGATTTCTTCAATGCCCTGTCCTGGGGGTTCACAGACCAAAGGATATTAGCAGGCAGATGTAAGTGGGAGCATAGGGGATTTTCTACACATTTTAACTAGAATCATCCTGTGATGGGGAGACAGAGATAGGAAAATGTCATGGCAAATAATGAGATGATTTCTCACTGGAATAAGAAACCAGTTCTCTTCTTTCCACTCACCTAAAAAAGAACCCCTCAGTTCAAGGGCAAGCTGTAAACAAGAGTGACTTCCAAAAATGGGAAGAAGCACATCACTGACAATGAACTTGGGAAAGAACAAGAGCTGCGAGACCCTCTTGTTTATTTGCTGAGGAAGACAGGAAGCACTTCCATGCATCTCATGCCTCATACTCCTCCTTTCAGTATAGTCTCTCCAGTATGGGCATGGTGCCTGATAGCATGCTTTCGTGCTTGTGCAAGCAAGCTACCTGGAAAGAAATTCATGTGATCTAAGTAAGGCAATATTACCCCATGGCAGTGAAGAATCAGCAATGTTTGTATCTTTCATCCTCCATTCCAGAAGACACAAACACCGTGTGGGTACCAGGGAGTGGCAAACCTTGATGTGCTGTGCCTATCTTAAGAAAAAAGGTCATGGAGATCTGCTATCTTTTCTTTTTATTATTATTTTTTATTTTAATTTCTGATTGACCTGTTATGCACTGTTCCAAGTAGCATTGCTTCTTCAGTGACAAGCTCACCTCCATTAATACCTGATCATGCTCCATGTGGCAACTGGAAGACAAATTTGCAGGGATGGAGAAGTTTCTGTTTGCTTCTGTCAGTTTGGCAACACTTCTAGTTAAGTATAGATCTAAAGAAAACTAAAAAGAAGAAATAAAATTAAAAGTTGCAGAATGGTATGTGCATATTCAGCAACTGCCCTTCTTGCAAGACTGCACATGGCAGATTCAGGAAGCAGCAGTGGATGACTAAGTAGAGAAAACATGTACAACTCAAAAACACAGATGCGCTGTTGAAGACAACCAGTTGCTGGCTTCTTTTGGAAACATGACTCTCTTTCCTCAAGGCCTGAAACTAGATTTTTAAACATGG